TGCACATGGACTCGAGTGTCGAGCTTTTCCATGCTCGATCCGAGCGGAATTGACAAGCTCGTCGAGCTATGACAGAATGAAAGACGCTGCAAAAAAAAAAAAAAAAAACAGAGAGAAACAGAGTTTCGACTCTTGGGAGTTGGGAGTTGGCTTCGTCGAAAAATTACTCTCCCAAATCGAGAATTTCGACGTTTGAAAAGTGTTTCACGAAGGAAAGGTTAACGATAGAACTGGTATCGAAGAAATATAAAAGTTGAATCGAAGAATTACTTGGGAAAAGGTTTATAATACAAAGGTTTATGATTCACGTAACTTGCAATAACTGAAATAACATTTATAATTCATGTGTATAATAACGTATAATAACGAACGCAAAGTGTTATTTGTATATTTTGCAAAAATCATTCGAATCTCTCTAAAAAAAAAAACGCAACGTTGCAAAACGGCAAAATTACTCCAAAAAAAAAAATTATATGAATCGATCGTTTTGACAACTTTGGTAGTTCTAGAGGGGAGAGTGTGCACGCAGATGTGGAAAATTTGTGGAAGGAATCACGTAGTGAATATATTCCGCTCCGTTGCAGAATGTTTGAGAGGGAATGGCGACCGAAGGAAAGAGAACGAATCTGGTCCAGACGCGTTGAAAAATGGCAAGAGTTCGCAATTTGATATAACGGCGAGCACGCAATCTGGAAGGACATTTTCTTTCCGTGAAAACATACGGCCGCTCTGTTTTAGAAGAAACTGGAAGAGGAGAGATCTTTGAATTTTCACTTTTCTCGACTCTTGCACGTCTCGTTCTCACAGTTATATATTCTCTGTCGTCAATTTCCTTACGACTCAGTTCGACAGCAGCGGCACTGAATCCCGATCGAAACCCGGAGAAAGAGCGAGAAAACACGGATCGTAAAACGACCCGAGCGTTTTCAAATGACCTAGGGAACCCGAATTGGAACGTTCGTTATAAACCAGGGGCAGAGGTGAATGTAGAGTCGCGGGTGCAAGGTGAAAACGAAACGCATTCGAGAACGTATTCACAGAGAAAATGGAAATGTCGCTTGAAAATAACGGGAGCACGGAGTCAGGTAAGTAAGAACGTGTGTAAGGATGTGGGACGATGAAGGTAGAGAAGTTTATGGCAGACGCGCGAGCTTATGGGGTACGAACCTTCTGTAAACGATATCGGGTGAAATTGGACGAGGTACATAGTACACACACACACACACACACACACACACACGTCTTCCAGCGAGTTTGAAAGCGAAAAGGAAAAATGTATTTGTAACTGAGATGGACAGATCGATAGATCGAGGTGGAAATTTCATGAATTTCTTTTTAGACGTAGTATTTCCTTTTTCTTTTTTTTTTTTTTTTTTTTTTTTGAAATAATAAATATATTTATTAGAGTTAATGCATATAGAAAGATTGGAACTTATGTCGTCCTCGCGAATCATACTTGCGTTAGCCGATCTCGTTTCCGAGAAACTCTTGCTCGCAAGTTTTCGATAGGTATGGAAAGCTCGGTGAAAATTGATTTCTGATGGATGCGTAAACAAGAAAACGGAAGTCGAGAAATATATATATATAAATATAAGTTTTAATTATAAGTAATAACAAATATAAGTTTTAAATATAATAAATATATAAATAAGTTTTTAAAGTGAGTCGAACTTGGATCGATAGCAAATATAAGTTTTTAAATATAATAAATATATAAATAAGTATATAAATAAGTTTTTATAAATATATAAATAAATATATAAATAAGTTTTTAAAGTGAGTCGAACTTGGATCGATAAAAAAAAAAAAAGAAGAGGAACATTCACCTCAGCTGTCTGTAAATTTTTGTTTTCAAAGGATGTTTCTTAGTTAATTTCGTTAATCAATAACGAGTTTCGCTTATTTATCGAACGAACGACGTTGAAACACACTGCCACACTCCGACGAACATGCTCAAACATTTTCAAACAAGTCAAACCGCAGTTAGTGGTTCTTTCTCCTGTCCTTGTTCGAAAGTCAAGCAGCGAGATCTCTCTTGACAAGATAATCAAACGAGAATAAATCGAGGCAAAAACGATTTTCGCAGACGCGAAACTGAAACTCGAGCGTCGTTTATTATTGCGTTCGTGCAGACGTGCACGTGCGGCTGCGGTTTGCGAGCATTCCGCGCAAAGAAACCGTTTCCCCGTGTCTGGAACGTCGAATTGATATTTATTCAGCCTCTTTCAGTCCCGACGATGAACCAGTGGTGTTCACAGAGCACTTAGTGTTACTCTATTAGCATTGAACACGCGTTGTTCGATCTTTTGTTTCTATTTCGCAGCTTGCGCAGCGCGCCACTTTCTCGAGACGGTTCGTTCGATCTTTTTTAAAGATCTCGATCGTTTCATTAACTTTCGTTTGAAAATACATTCGTCCCTCCATTTACGCGGTACTTTTTATCAATCTACGCGATCAGGAATTAAAAAGAAAAGGCCAGAAAAATATATTGTAGACATTCCAAACATCGTACAACGAGCATTGAAATTTCAACAATATTCAAAGAAACGTTGCAGCGAATATCAGCAAATTTGTGAAAGTTTACAAAATGAGAACAAATTATCCGAGATAATTGAAGATCAATATTAACGATGAAAATGAAGTCGAACTTGCAAATATTTCAAGCGACGAGAATAATGAGTTTGAGTTTTTAACAATGTCGTTACGTAAAGTATGTATCTTAGATATTCTACGTAATTTTACACTTTAAGATTTTCCATAAACGCGTAAAAACACACAGTATATAATGATCCTTTGTAAGAAGGAAATTACATTACCAATTTTTTTTTTTTCTTTTTTCTCCCAATGATCAGTCGATATCGAACAGGTTGCGATATCGACGAATATCTTTATTCTCTCGTTAATGAACGTGAGAATCGAGTATCGCAGCTGTTGTTTCCTCGTGAATCTGACGGATTAACAGGTTTATCGAGAAAGCGATCTGCTCGGTGTAATAAATGTAGGCGTACGGTCAGCACATTCACGTGATAGGGCATTAGCTGCATTTATCCAAAGTTTATTACTCTCGTGATTGACTCCGTCATTAATAAATTCTGAACCGGAAATGGACGTTAAGCAATAACAGGGAATAAAATTAAAACGCGAAATAATAACGTAATGAAAATCGATTGCAAAATTCACGTTGAACGAGAAGCATAAAACAGACACAAAAGGATCCTCGGATCTTCTAGTAATTACGAGAAGGAATAAGAGTGCCTACCTGAAGACTATAAACGACGCTTGGAAGCAAAGACGTAACGTGCTGCAGTATTTTTGAATAAACGTCGAATTGTATAATTGCATTTGCTTTACGGTAATAGAAATAATTTCCTAGCAAGTTAAATTTAGTTTAATACTTTGCTAAATTTCGTTCATGATTTGCAAAACCGTGCAAATTATTCTGCGATGCATTTTTATTATTTCGAGTATATCGTGAAACATTCCTTATATGATGAAACAGTTTAACATTTTCCGACTGTTATATTTTATTTCATGTAATAGTTTAGAGGATAACTTTGAGCAATAATTGACGTTGAATGTCATTTTTCGTATTTCTTGCAGTTCTGCCGGAATTCATTTCGGAAAGAAAAGTTTTTTTCATAGGTTCATAGCTCATCGTAAAATTTATTGCTGTGTGATCAGAGTCACATGGAAGTATTCTTTATACCTGAAAGTGACCACTTTTAAACAGTTGTTGTTTCTGTCCTTTTCGATTTCATCTCACTCGATTCATTCCGTCTGTAGAAAAAAAAAAGTTTCAAAATAAGGAAGGATAGTGTCAACGAGTCTATCGACTCAATACTAATTACGCTTACAAGGGCACATAAGTGTAAAGTGTGAATCACCGATTTTGATGAAATTTGATATAAATGTAGTTTCCAGAAAAATATTTGACCCGTATTTCTTTTTTTTTTTTTTTATTGACAATCGAATAAATCAGCATAAAATACAATGTAAAAAAGATTTTTGACTTTAAAATTCAAGGTGAAGATCAATTTTACGGCAGGTGTTTACATCAAATCGAAAATGTAGAATCCATCTATGATAGTCACGGAAAAACTATCCTTTCCACTCTGTACCATCGTTTATATTTAGCTTATTATATAACATTAAATGTCTGATGAAAGAATTAATTTTTTAAATTAAAATATAATATTATTTCTAATAAATATTATTTCTAATGATTGGTTAGATTTAATTACAATAACATCTAGTAATTGCAAGTTAATTGTTTTTATTAAACTGTAATCCAAGTGACAATATAAATAAATTATACATAAATGTTTTATCAAAATATATCTTTCTCAGACATATTACTACAAAAAAGAATGAATATACTATATTTTTGTAAGTTGATTGTAAATTTATAAATATAAATGTTATATAAATATAATTTATAAACATAATATCTGTATCTGATACGACGACAGAGCCAAAGTGTAGATCCGAGGCGTGTACCGATTTACAGACATTGTTTGCACACACTGCCCATGAATATTGTATGCGAATTGTCACATACTCTGCCACGTCGTCTGCCCACACTTTATAGAATTCCAGACCGTATAACACGTGTCTTCAACAGATGCAGATAACGTGCCCTTTTACGCTGAGAATTATGCTAAAAATTACAGACAAGTCTGTACGAAGAAAAACTTGCTGCAAGAAAAAATTCGTACAACTCGCGACGTTCGAAGATTGCGTGTAGAAAACAGTATCGATGTGACGCTTGCAGGAAATGGTCTGAATATTCCTTTTTAGAGGAAATAAGTCTGAAATACATGCTACTTCCTGTTGCATCCTTTTCGCAGTATAATTGACATGGCTCTCGTTGTTCTTATCGACTCGCTGGTCGACTTTTGTTCTCGAGACGCGTTACTCGTCGTCCAATGTTCGACGATCTTGCTCATCCACTATCTGGACTCCATTATCTATTTTTTTTTTTCTTTCTTTTTCTTCTCCAGAGGCCGAATGCTGCGTCGGCGAAGCCGCTGGCGAAGCCTGCTGGGAACCTTGTTACTGCGTCCTCCTCCAGGATGAACAGACCCTCACGGCTTACAGGAGCGAGGATATGGCCGTGAGTAAATTCTCTCTCTCTTCTTTTTTGTATTCTTTCTTCCCCCCCACCCCCCCCTACCACCTCCCCCACTTTCTTTCGATCGCGAGGAGCTTCCCCAATTCGACCGGATTAGGCGGCCTCCTTTTGCTTTATCACGATCCCTGAGGAACGACGTGCAAGCGGATTACGTCCAATAATCAGAATATCAACGAACTTGAACTTCGTTTCAAGGTGGAAAATTGGAAGATCATTTAATTTGTATTTTCATCTATTTCAGGGGTTATTAAATGTAATCCTTGACGCACGATGACGTTTGGTAGACGTCATGCTTTAGTTTCCTAAACTAAAAGTCGACAGTAACGTTGACACGTTGAGAGTCATCGAAATATCTTTTCGAATTGTGAAGGTACGAAAAATATTGTTTGCCTAACGCGAAGAGATTTCGCAAATAACTTAAGAATAAGAATATCTTTTTCAAGGACTTTTCAAGATTATTGGTGCTTCCTTTTTTTTTTTTTTATTGCATCGTGTAACTGGTAAAAAGAAGTACGTTCAGATATGTAAAAAACATGATCTTGAAAATTTAACTTTTACGTATAAATTAGTGACCTTGAAAAAAAAAGACTTTAAAAAAGATATATTTTCACCATTTACAACAGACGAAAAATATTTTTTGCATAATCACAATTCAAAAAGATATATAGATGTGACCTCACTTAAAAAAAAATATTTTTCTACATGTTCGATATTCATACTCGCAAGAGTATAAAAATGATCTTCGTCGAAATTTACGCGAATGTCAAAACTGAAGGATGAACATCACTTTTTGCTTCGTATCGAATTTTCTTATATTAATGTCAAGGGGTTAATCGTTCTATTTAGCAGAAGACTAATTGAAATTGCGTTTAACCTCGTTGAAACTCAATTCAATCAAACTCGCGGTAACTATTGTACACTCGAGCGATGTGACTCGGGTCCGAGAGCGAGTTGTTAGAATAACGACACGAGACATTGGCACGGAAATTACACGTACATACGTATTTAGGAAAACGCGTGGCCATTGAAAGTTTGCGTCGGCATCGACGTTGTTCACTCGCGGAAGCATCGTTTCGTTTTATCGCGTTCACGCGCCACAAAGGGCAACCCCCGAGTTGTGTTTGATCGCACGCTCGGGATGGCAAAGGGCTTGGCCAGCATCTAATTCGATTAGAAAGTTTATACCCCTTCGTCTGATGTTTGCGTAGCCAGCCGCTTTGAAGACTTTCGACTTCTCTGCGAAACCAACCACTCGCTTGCTGCGAATCCTCTGTCTTTCAACGTTTGCAACATCTCGATCGATCGGGAATAGAGGTACTATGGAAACGAGAAATTTTTCTTGATGCCTGAAACATCAAGTTGGCCGAAAAGTAACTGCGTCTTTCCACGTGTGAATGAAAGGCGAATTTTCATGAGAAACAAACGCTTTGTCCATTTTCTTCCATTGTTATTTTGCCATCTCTCAGTTAACGTCAAAGTTCTCTAGTTTTTTTCAACGAAAAAAAGAAAAAGAAAAAGAAAAAAAAGAGGAACAGTTCGATATCCTCCGTTAGTAAGTAAAGTGTAAATTTAATGAAATTTAGCAAATTCAACAATCCAGTGAGATTCAGCAATTCTGACACTATATAATAATATTTCACGAGCTTGCGCAGTTTTTTTTCGTTTTCGAAACTAAAAAAATAACACACAGCAAACTATATCCCGTTACGAAAATGTCCCTTTCTGATTTACCATTTTGAAATCGACGCCATGCATTTTCTTCTTTCCTCAAACAAGCTTAAACATCAGCAAATCAGCTGTCAGATTACAGAATGAAATTGCAATTGATTTGAAATGATGTTAGTTACACCTCAATATACACGTCTGCGCGCGTGTGTGTGTGTGTGTGTGTGTGTGTGTGTGCATCCATTATAAAAAAAAAGAACGCAATTTGTTTTTGATCAACCCGACGTGTTTACGTGTATTTGTATTCAGTCGTCGATATTTCCACTTGCGTTCGCACGCTCGGGAGAGAACGACCCCGCAGTAAACGTCCGCGTTATTACAGCCAGTGCATCGCGAACGCAACGCTGCGCCCAAGAAAAAGAAACCCAATCGAAGTTTCCCCGCGAACTTTCACCGCACAAACCGCCGTCTGTTCTCCAAGCAGGCACGCGAACGCTCGAAGCTTCTTCATGCTAATAACTTTCTGCCGTACTTACTTCGATCGTTAGGTTACTCTCCTCGCGTATTCTCGCACGTCAGCGTCGCGTTTTTACTTTCTTCTCTTCTTTCTCTTTCTCTTTGCCAATTGTCAAGTTCCTGCGTCTTCACTTTCGTTTTTTTTCCTTTGTTCTTTCGCGAATTGTTACGTTCTTGCGTATTTTACTTTCTTTCTTTCTTTGCGAATTGTCAAGTTTCTGCGCTTTTACTTTCTTTTCTCCTTTCTTTCTTCTTTTTTTCTTTGCGAATTGTCAAGTTCCTGTGTCTTTACTTTCTTTTCCCCTTTTTCTTTCTTTCTATCTCCTTTTTTTTTTTGCGAATTGTCAAATTTCTGCGTTTTTCTTCTTTCTTTCTTCTCTTTTTCCTTGCGAATTGTCAAGTTCCTGTATTTTTATTTTCTTTTCTCTTTTTTTTCTTCTTTTTTTGTGAATTGTCAAGTTTCTGGGTTTTTACTTTCTTTTTTTTCTTTTTTCTTTGTGAATTATCAAGTTCCTGCGTTTTTTATTTTCTTCCTTTCTTCTTTTTTTTCCCTTGCGAATTGTCAAATTCCTGTGTTTTTACTTTCTTTTACTTTTGTTCCTTTTCTTCTTCTTTTTTTTGCGAATTATTAAGTTCCTGCGTTTTTTACTTTCTTCCTTTCTTCCTTTTTTTTTTTTCTTTGCGAATTGTCAAGTTTCTACGTTTTTACTTTCCTTCCTCCTTTCTTCCATTTTTTCTTTCTTTTTTTTCTCTGTAAATTGTCAAGTTACTGTCTTCTTACTTTCCTTTCTCCTTTCTTTCTTTTTCCTTTTCTTCTTGCGAATTGTAATCGACAATTACCGCGAATCAATAAAGTCAGGCACTTAAAGGCAGTCTATCTCTTTTCACCCGTAATTGAATATGCGCGAACCGCGTCTCTCGGGTTTCGACACGTGGAATTTAATTCGTCGGTGTTCGCTCAGTCCCAGTTAGTTGCTCGTGGAACGAGCGATAGTGGAGGCACGGGAACGACGAGGATCCCCGGTTCCGGATCCATTTTCGTCGTCCCTCAAATACACCACGCCGTCCGTTTCTTTTTCTCTGTCTCCGAAGGTACCGAGGCCGAGAGTTCTACTTGTTACATTGCTTCAAACGCACCGTCCCCTTCGGGATTAGCTAATTTTAAAAGTCCGACAGGCGAGTCTACCCCTGCGAGCAATTATCCTCGGCGTGAAAAGAGGGTTTAACTGTTCGCGCGATAAAGTGTCCTTTGTCCGATGGAAGTGTCGGGTGCGAACGTTATCATACGAATTAGATTTTTTTCTCGTCGTTTTCAATTCTAAAACTACAAGTCAGGCTTGGACTCACCATCCTTCAACCGGAGAGAAAGTTGGAAACGTGTCAATTGAAAGTACATGACAAATTGCGTTCTTGCGTGGGCCATTTGGGAAAATTTCAGAAGAAAGTGCAGTCTATATCGATCTGTATCGACTTGGTCCCTAGACGTATGTAAGTGGTAGCCATTACTCGTTTCAGTAAATCCCACGGGACGTCCGACTACTCGTGCGCAGCAAGGGAGAACTCGTAGAAGAAATTTGTTCCTGCGCGTATAATAACCGACGGTGGACCGATTCAAGTGTTTCCTTTTTTTCCCCTCGTTGCTCAAAGAAAAAATTTCCCTCGTTACGTGGTATCAGCGACGGTTCGACGACGGATCTCTCGTCCACTCGCCAATTTTTCGAGGATAAAGGACCGTTCCTTCGGGCAAAAGACGAGTCCTGCAGGCCTTGGATGGCTTAAAGAAGCCAATCTTAACCGCGACCCGGGGGAAAATTGATGAATGGCCTCTTAAATTAAAGGTAAATACGAACGAGTATCGAGACCCGGTTCAATGGAAATTTTCACCGAAGAAAGAAATTTTTACTTATTTTGTTTTTGGAGGATTCAATTTAATTCTGCCGTAATTTCATTGTATCTCGAAGTGAAAGGGAGAGGAGGCAGTTAAAAGGACTTGCTTGAAAAAGCGAAATCGTTGCAGACGCAGAACGAAAGTAACAGCTTAATGTCCCACTTGCTTTGTGGTTGGTTGTCAAGCGATCCTGTGAAACTAACAATAAACGAATCCGTGATCAAGTCCCGTGAGCAACTCCGCGATACGCGTATCGGATTAGTTGATTTTAATCTCACAAAGCGGCCGACGACAGCGGGCAAGTTCGGTTTATTCGACGCCACGGGAATGGAATCGTACCAAGAGACAAATATCGTGGACGTAAATGTAACTTTCGATTCGCTTTCTGCTTTACCATCGTCTTCAAAACTGTAAAACAGGTTGAGAGATACATGATCGATAACGTCTGGCATATTTATTTTCAACGTTGTTGCTAAAATATAATTTTATATAAATTTATAAATATATTTTACATATAATTATATATAAATATAATTATATAATTTATATTTATGTAAATATTTATTTATTTATAATTTTATTTTATATAAGTAATTTTAATATAAATATAATATATATTTTATATAAATAATTTTATTTATAATTATATTTATATTTATATTAATTTATATTTATATATGTAAATTATATTTTGTACAAATTATATTACAACAAACACACAAAATTCATATTTCGTATTATTCGTTATTAAAGTTTAATACACTCGTATGTATTTATAGAAAAAAAAAAGAAAATACCACCGTGATTTAAATACCCGAGACGAATAAATTCATTCCTGTTGCACACGAAGGACACATCACTGTGTCAATAGTCTCGAGAGCGTTAATAGATTTGAATAATTTAATGATTAATT